CCGCCTCAATAAAAATAGGCACGCGTGCATATAATACCACTGGCGTGCGTACAAGCTGCGTTACTGCGATGATATTTAAAGCGTCACAGCAAAACAGAATACTCTGCACCCTGCACATACACCAAATGGCAAAAAACGAACAAAGAAAACTACCTTTTTCCGTATTGCTTCCACAACGAAAGGCAGTAAAGTGGGGATTGCCTCAACACCCAGGCAAGAGCTCAACAGGGCGCCGCCCCGTCCCAACGGTCGCTCAGCAGGGCAACAATTGATGACGGTGCTGGAGGTCTCCCCGCCCGCCTCCCGCAGCCGGCAGGGGCAGAGCGGATTGGGTTGGGTGGGCCGTCCAAACGTAACCTCAGCCACGAACCAGGTGCCGGGACGAAGCTGAGAAACGAGGACGTCGCTGGGCATTTTCCACCAGGCATACGCCGGGCTGCACCATCCCCCTCGTGGGCTCACATAAATTATAGCCGCCCTGAATAAATAAATAAATAACGAAAATAAATAAATAAATTCCAAAATTAACAACGACGAAGCGGGAAAAAATCCGGGCACGGCCTCTCTACGGCAATCCATGCATCTTCCTCCTTTCGTCCCCAGCACGGACCTCCTCCATCCACGCGTTGTATTTCTGTTCAAAGTTTTTACGATGCCTTTACTCGGAAAAGCCCGGCAATTACATCCCTGCTTTCCCTCCTGATACAGCTGCTAGTTCACCTCCTCCCACTAACCGCTTTGCTACACCTCTGCGTGGACCTTCCGTCCTTATCAAACCCACGCCAAGAAGCTTCTTATTTCATAGACGTTTTTTTGTGGCCTTCGCTGCTCGCGCTGCCGCTGACGCCCTCAGACTGCCCCCGATCTCATACTCTCCGCCTCCGCGCGCTCCTCCTCCAACTCCTTGGTGGTGACAGCGAGGAGCTCCGCCACCTTGGGCGTGATTTTGGCATTGTCGACAAACTGCCACTCGCCTCTGCTGCACTTCACAGGGAAGGAAAAGAAGAGGCCAGGCGGCACACCGTAGGGATTTCCATCGGAACGCACAACCATGGACACATGTTTCCCCTCAGGAGTGCCAAGTATCCAGTCATGCACGTGATCAATTGTGGCACTCGCAACCCCCAGACCTGACGAACGACCCCGCAGCCTGACAACTTTATATCCGCGATCTCGCACAATTTCCATAAATTCTCCGTCAAGGAATGCGTCATCTTTTATAACCTCACGCACAGGAACGCCCTTCACGGTGGCGCTGTTGATGTCCGGAACTTGTGTGCTGCTGTGGTTTCCCCAAATGATGCAGTTCTTCACATCTTCAGCCAAGGCGTGGGCTCGCTCCGCCACCAGCGCCGTCGCACGGTTGTGATCCGTCCGTGTAAGCGACGTCACGTTCTTCGGTTTTAGCTTCCCATTCGAGGCATCCAACAGAACACAAGCAATTGTGTTGACGGGATTGGTCACAATGCACACGTGGCAGTCGGGATCGGCCACCTCACCCAAGACGCGGCCCTGCTCCTCGATGAGGCCCATGTTGCCTCGAAGGAGGTCCCTCCGCACCATCCCGGGCTTCAGCGGGACGGAACCGCATAAAATGACGACATCAGCCTTCTCAAAGGCCACCTTCGGGTCCGACGTGATGACAACGCGGTCCAACAGCGGAAAGAGGCAGTCAGTGAGCTCCACACGGATCCCCTCAAGAACATTCATGGTGGGCTCCACATCCAGCAGGTTCAGCTGGATGTGCTGCTTGGGCCCCAACATGCGGCCGCAGGCAATGAGGGGAAGCAACGCGTAAGCAACCTGACCGGCGCCCCCCGTCACAGCCACCCTCACGCACGACTTGTTAGCGAACATCTCAACTTGCCGACAAACTTGCTTTTAAAGGTTTATATTGTGCACAATCCTTACGGCAACAAATTGAACGAAAACTATTTCTGATTGGAGTTGCTCTCAGCAAAAAACCACAACAAAAAAAAAACGGCCGCGCCGCGCCACCCTCCGCAGCCACAGAACGACCCGCACCGCAACACAAACTACCTCCCCCAGCTCCTCTCTCCCTCGCTATATATACACACGTATGTCTACCTACGCCTCCTCACCCTCCTCGAGCGGAGACAACGGCGCAGGGGCGAACGCCCCAACAAAACAAACCCCCATGAAAGTAAAAAAAGAAAAAGAAAAAAAGAGAGAAAATAATGGCACCCGCATGGGGAAAGTCAAAAACAACCCAACAGCAACACACGCAAGAACCACAGCGGCAAGCCTCTCGTTTTTCCTCAAAGACAC